AAAAAAAAAAAAAAAAAAAAAAAAAAAAAAAAAAAAAAAAAAAAAATCTTCTTTTCCGTGACGTGATATTTAAGAGAAATAATAAAAAAAAACCTACGCTTGTGTACGATTGTACGCTTTTCAGAATTCGATATTTTAACGCGACAAAGGCATGTGTGTAAATGTAACAAGCGGTCGATGTCACATGGATATTTTTTTCAGTGTCGTAGATGCGCATTTTATTTTTCAATGTTTAGACGAGTGTTGTTTATTCACACACACACACACGTGAGTTGTAATCGTTTGACTTGCTATGGAACCGACGAGAAATTTTTTTTACAATATTTGCAGCAGATAGCTAGTTATAATTGTTTATTAATTGTTAAGCTCAATCAGCGAATTTGTAAATAAGATAACAATACCGACTATAAATGAAAGTTGTTGATGTTATTCCTGTGTAAAATGTACTCATTTTTTTTTCTTCAAAAAATTTTTTCTAAAAAATCTTGTTTTTATTTATTTCTGTATCGTAGAACTAAACATTCGGAAACGAATCCGCAGGATTGGAAGGAGTAAAAAGGTATCGTATGATGCTTCAAGTTTCTTTTATTTGCTGGCTCCTCTCGGCAACATAGTAATACTCTCTTAGTTTGAACTACAACTGGAAAACAATACTATATAACTCTTAGTCTCCGCCAAAACTGAGGGAAGGTGAATACTTTCGTCACTCCGAATCTCATCTCTTTGTATAATCTATCACAACGACATCGGTAACAAGTTCCTCGTGCTCCTCGGGTATTTTTATCCATACAACATCCAACCGATCGTAACGGGCCGTGCGAGTTCACAGATCGTCGGACAGCCTCTCGATCTCCTCGACGAAGAAGAGCATGTCCTCCTCGGTCAGGCCCGAATTCTGCAACACGAGCCTGAAGAAGTTCGGCTGATCCCGGATCGACTGGTACGTTATGAGCATCGAGCCCTTCTCCACCATCCGGCCCTTGACGATCGGGGCTAGCTTGTGCAACGCCTGCAGCAGCTGGTCGCCCTTCAGGTGTCTCATCAATGGCGGGACGTATCTGAAAATCCAAGCGCACCGATTGCACACTAATGTCCCCTGCTCGTTTTGAACAAGTCGTATCGTACCTGAAGCACACGTTGGTGCACTCGGGCTCGAGGAGCAGCTGCCAGCCGGCTCTGTGCCTTATGCTGTCCGCAAAGTACCTCGAGAGCTCAAACACCCGGTCGACGTGGCTCTCGAGGCCCTGGGTGCCCTTGGCCTTCCACATCAGCCAGAACTTGAGGACGTCGGCCCTGCGGCCGCACTGTATGTGCTTGTCCCCGAAATCGTAGCTCGTGTCGTACATTTTGTCCGGCTGGAAGAGGTACGAGGCTTTCGACCCGTGGGCCGACTGCAGGAGGTCCTTGTGCCTGAAGGACATGGTGTTTATGTGGTTTTTTTTTTCAAGATTAATTAATTAAACGTGCACTTTGTTATTATTAATTATACGAATAACAAAAACTAACAGTATAACAATTATTTGAGTCCCGATTTACTAAATTAGCGGTTATAAAAGTTTTATTTTCTTTATTTTGGATAAAGCCGGATCACGCGTGTGTAGCTATTTAAAAATTAATCAAGTCTTGATTCCAGACTGCGAATAAAATTTTATGACTTTTATATAGTTAACATTTCCTTTTTTTTTTCTCTCTCTGTTTTCGTCGTACAAGAAAAAAATAATAATACTGATGGTATAAAATTTGATTAATTTTATTTATTTGCGATTAAAAATGTATGATACTCATCATTTGCTATAATAGTTACTGTGAAATTTTATTTTTATTTTCAAATTGAATTTTATTTAAACTAAATTGAGGTAAAATTTGAAATTCAATTTTTTTTTTTTATGTGAAATCTGAGTTAAAAAACATGGTTTTATTCCGTTATTAATTAATTTTTGCACACAATTGAATTACCATCAGTTTCTTGAAAACAGTTAAGTATACACTGTAATGATCAATAAATTATTGTTCTTGTATGACGAGAACAGAAAAAAAAAAAAAAAAAAAAAAAAAAAAAAAAAAAAAAAT